GGAGTTTCAAATTTGCTTTGTATTTATTCTGCTTCCAGTTCTATTCACCTTTTCTTACCCATCTCCTAAATCTTTTAATTCAGCAGCAGTTCTCCTTTATTGGGACCCCAATTTCCTCTCTGGCTCTCTCCCTGTTCTCCCCAGCCACAAGTCACTTAGAGTTCTATGCATTTGGGATGGTACCTTTTCATATCCTACCATTTTTCCATGCCCACCAGCCTATCCAGGGTCCATGTTACTTCTACTTCTCTCTTAAACCTCGCTTTATATGTCTTAGAGATTCTTGGAGCATCACTGGAGTCACACGATATATGTGAAATCCATTTTAACTTAAAGAAAGAACAAGGTTCACAGGGTCAGATTTCTGAATAAATTGTGATTAGGCTGATGAGCCTGAAATAGGCTGGCAGAAAAATGGCCTTTGTATGTGTTTTCCTATAGCCAGAATGCCATTTCCAAACTTCTATCTTTTAAACCTAGCTGACCATTATATCTACTACTTCTGCAAAGGTCAGCCTGGATATCTTCACCTTCTTTGTGGAACTTTCAATAAACTCTGCTCGACTGGAGTTGTTTGTCTTCTTACACACCGTTAACAACAGCTAACATTCATTGAGTACTTATGTGTCAGACACTTTCCATGTGGTAACTCACTTAATTCTCACAATCCTTCTGTAAGGCAGGCATTCAATTATAATTCCCATTTTCCAGATGAAGAAACCGAGGCACCGATAGTTTAAGCAATAGTTGGAAGGTGGTAAACTAGAATTCAAACCCAGGCATGCAGCCTCTGAAGCCCATACTCTACTGCCTCCCCCTGTGCCAGCATAGCTAATGTAGCCATTGTTGCTACTAGTGTGCTTTCCTGTATCTACAATTGTATTGAAAACTGTGCAGAGCAAGTTATCTTTACATCTCTAGGACCTGGCATAATGTTTGGTGAAAAACAAATGTTCTATAAGAGTTGAGTTAATGAAAAAATAAATGATTTTATTGAAGTACAAAGCACAAAGATATTAGAATTAGGAATCTGAATTGAATCCTGATTCTACCTGTGTGATCCTGGTAAAGAGAGATAATTTTTTTCAGCTTCAGTTTTTTATTTTATGAAGTGGAAATAAAAGACTACTAAGTCTTATCCAGAGGATTAATTATGATGATTTTTTTAAAGCACCCATCACAGCAAAGGTATTCAGCATATGATTTTATTCATTCATCCATCCATTCATTTATTCATTGAAGAAATAATCATTGAGCATATGTTATGTGTCAGAAAGTATATTTGTTGGGAATATGCTGTGAAAAAAACCAGAGCTCTTACCTTGTGGAATTATATTCTATTGGGAAAGGGTGCAAAATAAAGGAATAAACAAGTTCAGAAATATACATTTATAAAGAAATAGAAAATAACTGGAGAGCTATTTCATTTAGATAAGATAGTCAGGAAAGGCTGTAGAAGAGTGATGCTAACATTTGAGACTTGAAGTTGAGGAGGAAGCAGCCACATGAAAAGCCAGAAGATGATCATTCCAGGAAGAAAGACAAGTCAATACAAAGCCTTGAATTTAGAAAGAGATCAAATGTTCAAAGAAGAGAGAGGAGGTCAAGATGGCTGGCACCTGGTAAATGAAGAGGAGAGGGCAGGAAATAAGATTCAAGATTCCAGTAGAGGTCAAATGATTGAGTGTCTTTCAGTCCCTGTTAAAGATTTTGGATTAATCTAAATGCAATAGGAAATTAAAGCTAGATTTTTAGTGAAGGATTGACATGGTGTTATTTATATCTGTGACAGCCCATTTTGGCTGTTATGTGGTTTTTGGATTTTAATGGGCAAGAATAGAAGAAGGGGAGCCACCTAGCAGTTTATTGAGGTAGTTAAGGTAAGAAATTATAGTAGCTGGGACTAGGGTGGTAACAGTGGAGACAAAGAGAAACAGACATATTTGAGGTAGAACTGTCATAAGTGGATACTGGGAATCATAGAAATGGAGGAACCAAGGATGATTCCTCAATTTGGGATTGAATTACTGAGTGGGTGGTGGTATACTCATTGAAACAGGAAGGAGCAAACTTGACAGAAAAACAAGAGTTATATTGAAGATATGCTAAGTATGACATGTCTACTACATATAAAAGGAGATGTCAAATAAACAGTTGGATAGATGAGTCTGAAGATTGTAGTGGTTCATTTTCTTTGTCAACTTATGTATGTTAAGGAATGCCCAGAGAGCTATAAGGCCATTCTTTCTTTTCTTTTTTTATATAACTTTATTTTATTCATTAATGTGATTGTGAGGATTGAACACAGGACCTCACACATGCTAGGCAAGTGTTCTACCACTAAGCCACAACCCCAGCCCATAGAAGGTCATTATTTCTGAATGTGTCTGTGAGGGTATGTCCAGAAGAGTTTAGCATTTGAATAGTAAACTGAGTAAAGAAGATACATCCTTCACCTAATATGAGCAGGCATCATCAAATCCATTGAGGTCCTGGATAGAATAAAAAGGCAGAGGATGAGTGAATTATCTCTGTCTTCTGAAGCTGAGTCATCCATCTTCTCCTGCTGTCAGACATCAGAGCTCCTGGTTCTTGGGTCTTCAGATTCTGGGTTATACCATCAAACCCTTGGTTCTCAGGATTTCAACCTCAGAGTGGGAACTATGTCTGATTCTCAGGTTTTCAGACTTAGATTGAATTTTCCACTGGACTTACTTCAGCTTCCCCCATTTGAAGACAGTATATGATGGCACTTCTTCATCTCCAAATCACATGAAGCAAATCCCATAGTAAATCTGCTCTCTATTTTCTTCCCTCACGCTCACCCTCCTACCTTCTCTTCCTTCTTCTGTCTTTCTTTCCCTCTTTCTTATCTAGCTATCTATCTATCTAATCTATCATCTATCCCTCTCCTATTAGTTCTATTTCTCTGTGGAATACTAATTCAAAGGTTAGGAGAGAGGTCAGAGTTGGGGCATATCAATTTAGGTGTCATTTACCTATGAATGACATTTAAGATTATAGGAGTGAAAGAGAAATACCCAGGCAAAAGTACAAATAAAGAAAAGAATAATAATGTCATAGTAAGGATGGTGATTATGATAATAATGAACATGTATACAGTGCTTATTATATGCTAGGTACTATTCCAAATGCTTTGAATCTACATTAACCCATTTAATCTTTACAATAACCCATGAGGGTTGCTGTCATCATACTTTACAGATGAGAAGCTGGAGGCAATGATAGATTTAGGCAAATTATCCAATTTGACATGAAGATTGATAAGATTCAAAACTAGGCATTTTGGCTTCAAAGTCCATTCTCTTAACTACTATGCTATTATTGCCTTTCAAGAGAAGAGAGTCCATAATCAAGTCCTGGGGCTCTATCACATACAAAGGGCAAGAAGAATAAGACTCAGCAAAGGAAACCTCTAAGGTGTAATAGCAGAGTGTGGCATCATGCCAGGCAAGTGAGTAAAATATATTAATAAAAGGAAGTGCTTATGCATGTTAAATATTTTTGAGCCATTAAGTAAGAGGATACAGAGATTTCCACTGGATTCTCCAATATGAAGCTTGCTGGTGTCCTAACAAGAGCATTTCTTTCTTTATTAATGCTGACCATTTTCCAAGACTCCACTCTTCAGTCTCTACCTTCCTTTGTCAACCCTTGTGACTCCCTTGACTTCTTTGTGAATTTCATATGCTACTAGGTATATGCAATTAATTAAGTCACCTCAATTTCCTAAGGGATGTGTTTCTGATGGCATTTTATATTTGAATTTTTATCTCATTGTCTTAATTTTGGATGTCACAATCAGTTTTCATTGAGTTTTAAAATTTCTTCTGGAGATATTTTCTCATGTCATCAAAGGAGTTACATAAGAGGCCTTCTCTTTAGCTCTATTACTCCCACTTCTTCAGCTGGTTGATTCAGAGTGGGAAAGAGGACAGGATTCCTCAGTGTTTCTGAATGACTAACTCAAGAGCTATTTTACTAGGTGATTCTAAAGTACAACAGTCCTTCCCTCCTTTCTACACTTGAGTAATCAAGAAGTAGTATCTGAAGGCTAAATCTCCTTCTTGTAAGGATAATGATTCCTAGTAGGCAGTTTAGAGTAAGAGAGGTCACATGACTAGTGGTGCCTCTAATTAGCCCCTCTGTAAAACTCTAGTCTAGATTTCTTATTTAGGGCACAGTGGTACTTACACAGGGTGTGATTCATTTCTGCCAGTGTGTTCGACAACAACTGAATACATAAAAAGGAAACTCATTTCCAGATGGAGTCCTCTTGAGCAGTGCTGCCTGGAGAGGGTGAACAGTGACACACTTCAGCTTCAATAGGACAAGATGCTTGGAGAGGGAGCTTCCCTTTGCTCTCTTATGAGGAAAAGAAATGCCCCCAATTGGATGTCATAAGCCTATAGATTCTCTCTCAAGCTTAGGAGAACAGATGGCACAAGCACAGCAGGAGACTGACAAATGCTTATCACACTTTCTCACTAGCTTTCTTAAAACATGTCAACATTGACCTTCCCTAGAGATCTCAGTTAAGTCATTACTATCAAGGAAAGCATTCACAGAGCTGAATTCAGGAATTCACAGAGAATTGAATTCTTCAATTATATTTGCCATTTCATATGAGATTTGGAGTTCTTATGGGTCAAAAAGTCAAAACCTTTGGTCTGTCATAAAGTGTCTTGCTCTTGTAGAAATGGTTCAGAATGAATGGCAACTCCAAAACACTATATTCTTTGGGATTTTTTTTATCCTTTAGAGTCATGGAATCCCTCAGCATAGATAGAGAAAGGGTCACCATTGTTGCTGAAGACACCAGCAGAAAGGAATGAGTTAGAGGAGGACCTGCAATCCTGGAACAGTAGAATTTTTATTTTTTATTTTTTTTTTTAGTTACACATGACAGTACAATGATCTTGACATATCATACGTTTGAATCAAATGGGGTATAATTTCTCATTTTTCTGATTGTACAGGTTGCAGAATCACATGTAGAATTGATCTGCAGACTGGCAGCTGGATAAAGAGACTGAGAAGAGAGAGAGATCTTAAAGATAATTAAAGAAAGGAAAATTGGAATCATGAGAGGAGTTGTGAGGCCAAATTACCTTCTAGAAACAGAGATGAGGCAGAGGGAAAATAGCCTATGAGATGATGAAGATCCACATGAGTAAGAATAAATAAGTTTCCCACTCTTTACCATTTGCAATCCCTTCTATGTATCTAGAAGTAGGCAATAAGAGATTCTGTGGACTTTTATTCCACCTAGTACTAAAAGCAACGAAGTGCATGAAGGGAACAGAAAGGAAGGCAGAGGGGCCTTCCCATTAGTTCAGAAATAGAAACATTTAAAACTTTCCACTGGAAAAACTTGGCAGGATCAGATCCTCATGGGACTGTAAAGGAATCTCAGTTTAACTCTTATTGGCCTGCATAGTGCAAGGGCGTAGTGTGCTTGGAAGACTTTGCAATCCCAGGAGAGAAACGTGACCATGAAAAGTTACTCTCCTATGTGAGAGTTGAGGGTGGAATATTCTTTCTTCCTTTTTTTTTTCTTTTGTACACTACTTCAGACTCACTGGAAATTTGTGATCACAGTGAAATCTGTCTTGAGGTCTATACTTTACCTTGACCAACTCCCACTCTGTCAGTGATGACTTTACCTTCTTTTGAGTTTCCAGAGAGAATATACTGTTAATGCCAAGCAATCAGTTTTTATGGATCTCTGCCTGGAATTTAAGTTTAGAGTTAGATTCTTTATAATAAGGACAGTTTATTGGCCAAAGTTAGACCCAAGTCATTATCAATGTATGAGCCAATGTAATAGCATCAGACTGATGAATACAAGGGACAATTGACCATGATTTTCCAGAACTCCATCAGAACTTGAGACTCACCCTAAAAGAAGTGGGTGATGAAATATTGCTGGAACAATTTTTCTGGGCTTTGGAAGTTTTGTACCTAAAGGATTAACTTTGGCTTCAAAATCTACTCCAGTTAGAAAAGTAGAGGACTACAGGGGGCAGGGTTTCAGGGTCACATTCTTAAAAAACACACCACTTCTCCCATCTACTGGCAGATGACTAAAATTATTTTAAAAGGGGACAATGCCTTCATTCTGTAATCTTTTTACTCTCCCAGAATTTCTAACATGGTCATGGTTACCCAGAAGTGTTAAATAATTTGGAGAGAAAATTTTCCTAGCATAAAGGAAGGGTACAGCACAAGGGTACTGCCTGCTTGAAGTGGGAATGTCAAGCACTGGGAGGGTGAAGAGGGAAAAAGTGAAGATATGAAAGCCAAATTACTAACCTTATACTTTTTATAAGGATCACTAGCCTATTCAAGTAGAAATTTTAGGAAAATTTCACTCCAAACTGATGGTAAGATTCTTCTTAAATTAGTTAATACTCTCAGCTATCTGATATGTCAGAATTGTGCCTTTGAGAAATACTTAAAGGGCTGCTGATATTTTTGCATGCAAATTATTGTATTTCTTTCTTTTTCTTTTTTGGTACCAGGGATTGAACTCGGGAGAACTTAACAACTGAGCCACATTTCCGGCTTTTTAAATATTTTATTTAGAGACAGGGTCACTGAGTTGCTTAAAGCCTCACTAAAATGCTGAGGCTGGCTTTGAACTTGCGATCCTCCTGTGTCAGCCTCCTGAGCCACTGGGCTTACAGGCGTGCACCCCCATGCCTGGCTGTAATGGTATTTCTGACTTAGCAGTTCTTTTGTCATTCCTTGCAAGTTTGATGAAGCTTAGACTATCATTCTTTTTTCAAAAATGTCAATTTCTGATCAGTCTGGTTGGGTCAGATATTCCTTTACATCAATACTCCATAGATTTGGGGGAGGAGGTGATAAGATTGATTTCAGGGTCACTTTTACCACTGATCTACACCCATAGCCCTTTTTTCATTTTTTAAATTTTGAGACAGAGTTTCACTAAGTTGCTTAGGACCTCACTAAGTTGCTGAGGCTGGCCTTGAACTTGCAATCCTCCTGCCTCATCCTCTTCAGTCACTGGGGTTATAGTTTTGCACCACCACACCTGGATCCATAGATTATTTAAAAAACCCAATATATTCTGGGTTGCACATACAAACACTTTCTATCTAATAAGGAGATATCTTGACATTCCTTTTGAGGGGGGAACGTTTGTAACAAAGGAGACCTGCTTTCCAGCTTCAAGGCCTAGTACGTGCTGGATCTCTTGGGGTGCCATGCATCTGAGTTCCTCCTTAGTCATGGTAGGGATGAACTGCTGTATCTGGGCAGTGATGTTCTGCAGTAGAAAAACAGTCACATAAGCAAGATATAAGCCAAAATGATGTCTGAAGTTTCTCCTTCTTTTTCAGCTAGACACCATAGCCATCTCTATGATTATCTTTCCAGCTTCTTTGTCCAAAAAATGTTTCATAAATTTTTATTTCAGTTGAGCTGGGGTGGACCAACAACAACCAAAGGCAAAGGACATGGCTGGTCACATAGTTCAAATGGATGCAGGGAAATTCAGGATGTATTTGCAGCATTTTTGTATTGTGTAGAGTGCTTGTGTGGAGGAACATATGTTGAAAGCAGTGAGACTTATGTACTTCTTTCCAAGTAAAACATTCTCAGTCTATGTGGCATCCCACTAATAGGCTTCAAGCAGCCAGCATTGCAGAATGGTGTGCCAATGCCAAAGCTCATCACCGGCTCCCAGAGGATTCCCAGCACTTCTGCATCATCTCTTTTATTAACTTGTAAACAGCTCTGAACTGTAAGCTGAATTGTAGCAATAAGAAAAGGAGATGGAGGCAAACAGCCAGGAGAATGTTAGGCTAAATACACATTCATCACTAGCAATGTTTATTCCTGTCCTTCAAGTAACCCTGCCTTTAATCTAATGGAATGATTGGACCAGGATAAGTTGAGCTGAGGAATAAACTCAAGACAAAACATTCTACATTTTTTTCTTTTATTACCTTGCTAAAAATCATGTCACTTCAACCAGTGTAACTCCACATCATGTACAACCACAAGAATAGGGATTTATATACCATGTATGTATGATATGTTAAAATATATTCAACTGTAATGTATAACTAAAATAAACAAATAAAAAATTTTAAAAAACTGTGTCACTTGAACATCCATGGTCAGATTCACAGGAAAAGGAAACAGCAGGTCAGAGTTATGCCAACTTCTTAAGAACTCTAGTTCAGGAGTTGCACATTCCTTTGCTTGAATTCTTAGTTATACCAGTCACACACAGCAAGGGAAGCTTGACTGTAGCATAGATGGGTAGCCATGTGTCTGGCACATATACTACTATGGAGGAAAGAGAAAAGAGTTTGCAGGTAGAAAAGATGGTAGGAATGAGATGAACATTATTACCCAAGGTACATGTATGACTGCACATGTAGTGTGACTCTACATTGTTTACAACCAGAGAAATGAAAAGTTGTGCTCCATTTGTGTACAATGAATCGAAATGCATTCTGCTATCATGTATAACTAATTAGAACAAATAAAAAATAAATTTAAAATAAAAATCGTATTCTAGGTTCTTACCTACTTTTCTATAAATCTACCACCAAGAAGGCCTATTCAACCTCATGTACCACCAAAAGAACTAAGTAATCCCCATAGCTACCCCCTTCTACTTTTTCTTCAGCAATGTCAAGCAAGATAAATGAATAAAGGTTATCCAAATTTTAAAAAAAAGACTTTGGAGGAGATAGCTAGTAGTTTCTGCCACAAATATGTATGTACACAAATATTTGTTGGCATTACAGAACTCTTTTCCTTAGGATATGTTCTTAGACAGACTAAGTATGACTCCTTTTAATCCATAACTGTTTCAGTCTTGCTGTCTTAATTTTAATTCATATCTTGGCTATCCTGAATGTCCTAAACAATTTCTTTTAAGAACACCTGATGTGTTTCCTGGGCTCTTCTGAGATTTGTGTGTGTGTGTGTGTGTGTGTGTGTGTGTGTGTGTGTATGTATGTGCCTTCACATATGAAAGGCAATTTCTCTTAGAATGATTGAGTAACAAACTCCCCCCTTAATACTCTGTAGCAATGGTTCTATTGTCTTCCGATATTCACTCATTCAACAAATATTTATTTAAGCAATTACAAAGTCCAATGATTGCTACCAATGCTTAAAATATAGCTGTGCACAAAACAGATAAAAATTCCTCACCCTCATACAGAAACCAGTGGGTTGTCTTGGGTTTATTCTGTTTGCTCCCAAGTACTGAGCCATTCTATGCATGCTCTGTATCTTGAAAGACTGACTCCTATACACTGCCTTTCCCTGACTCCCTTGATGTCTAGTTTTCATTTTTTCCCCTCAATGAGTGATACCAGTGAGATATTGGAGGTCAGAGGATAGAATCTAGGGTATTTCTTATCTTCTTCCTTCCTATTTCTGCTGCAGTCTGGCTAGGAACAAAATCACGCAGGAACAAACTTTATTTTTTGAAACTGCCACCAATGCCCCATACGCCCTGGGAAGAATCCCAATCGACCAATGGGAACTCTCCAGGAGTCCCTTAGCGGGCCTGAGGTGAACAGCAGGAGTCCAATATCCATATGAATGCAAATCTTAACATAATCATATCATCTCAATGGCTAGCTGGCTCACCTTTCAACCAAAAATGCCATGTATCATATTACTTGGCTGTGGCTCTTAGCATATTTCGGCATCTCATCTTTGCCTATAGCTGTATCCTTTCTGAAATACAGCTCCTTTAAGGCAGCCTCATTGAAATTATTTGGGACTAATTCTGTTTTTTAAAAATAATCCTGCTATGGGTGTAAACTATGAGGGTCACAGCAGGAAAGACATAGCATGCTCAAATGGTTTAACTAGGTATAGTTCAATGACAACACTGTTTACAGAGTTATGTGAAGGGTTAAGGAACCCAAAAGGATCATGAGGCATCCAAGTGTATCAATAGTAGAAAGGCATTACTACTGGTAGGTCCAAAAGCACAAGAGGAAAACCAGGTAAGACCTATTGCTATGGGAGAGGGCCTTCCAAATAGGTAGAAATATGTAACCAT